CTGGAGAGCCTCGACGTTCCGCCCGAGCCCCGCGCGGGCGGCCGGGGCGCTGGCCCAGCCCTGGGACTGAGAGGCCGCCAGACGACGCGGATGCGGAGCCTGCTCGCCCAAGATCAAAGCCACCGGCGCTCTCTTTGTGTCCGTTCGGGATTCGCGGCCCTGGGGCTGTCCATGGAAACCTAAACTGCTGGAACCCGAAGCAGAGAACCCCTCCGTGGCTTCTTGCTCTTTTTTGGAGAGGAGGGTGGCCACTCCGACCTGGATTTACCGTTCTTGGTCCCCCTAAGCCCCCCCGTGCGGGGGGCGGCTGTGATCGCTCTGGCGGTTGGAGGTCGGGGAGCGGCCCGGGCTCTGGCCATGTTCTCGGATGAGGATTTCTGGATCGCCCTGTGAAGAGGTGAGTGAAGTCCGCCCCGCCAAGGCCCAGAAAGGGTTGGACTGGGGGCATAGCCAGATGGACTCTTCTTGGCCGGAGCTGGCCTTTAGGTTGAAGAAAGGGGTGCCAGGGCTGAGGAGGGTTTCTTTGGCAGGGTCTGTCAAGGGAACCTGAGCCAGTAGCTGGGGCAGAACTGAGGCCTGGTGTCTTGGGGTGTGCCTCTTTAAAGACTGGGGGGTTCAGGGAACCACGGGAGTTTGGGAACCTGGCCAGATCGCCTCTCTGCCTGTTTATTTTTGTGTTGGGGGAGCTCCACTAAACTAGGACCCAGGCCCTGATGCCAGCACCAATTCCAGTCAGCTGCTGCTCCCTCAGGGTTCCTTGTGGGCCTTGGGAACAGAACAACTTTGGGGGATGGGATTAGGGTGCCACTGCCAGGTCAGACTTACTGGCAGGTTGGACTTTAAGGTTGTTTTTGCCTATCCAGGCATCCAGAGCAGTCTCTGGGAGACTCAAGGAACCCTAGATCCTTCACCAGGCCTTTTTTCAGTGTGGAAAGGGGAGAGTGTGTAGAATCTGACTAGTGTAATGAAGCGGGTAGCTGGGGCAAGAAGGAGGTGGGGCTGAGGACAACTCTGGCCTTGCTGTTCAACTTTAAACTACCCCTGCCTGGCAAAGTGACCCCAGAGAGTCCTAGTGCTGTTTTAGCCTGCTTTGCCTCCCCTCCTCTCAGGATGGACATAATCTCTAGGGGATTATAGAGGAGGCCGTTGAGATTTGCTCTCTGCGAATGTGGGCTGCAAAAAATGGCTTTTGTCTCCCGCTTTCTCTGTGCCCGTTGTGGAGAGCTGGTTGCCCATAAGTCCTAGGCCAATCCTGCAGGCCCCTCCCTGACCTCTCTAACCCTTTTTGATCAGGGAATGTTAACTGGCCCACTGATCCAGTCCCATCCGTACAGAATAAGGTAGCCTGTACCTCTTTGGAGGAGAAATGACCCGATCAGAGCTGTTTCTGCAGAAGCCAGTGTTTCCAGCCCTGGCAGGAGGTGTTGGGGAGAAGGGGTGTGCATGTGAGTGCATGAAGGGTGCAGCATGAGCCTCATGCCTCTGGGCCCTGGGCTGGGACAGCCCTTCTCACAGCTGTCATGCTGCCCAGCAGGGATTTGGCTGGTGAGTTTTGTTCCCTCACTCCACCCTCTGCAACATACATACATAGGC